AGTCCATTTGTCAAAACAAGTGTAAGCAAATGTGGTACAGTCTAAACATATTTTTGATAATCAGTAATAAAGTTTTGAAAATCCAAAACAAGCTCTAGCTGTGGCAATACTGTTTCTGTATGTGTGAGCTTTCTGCTTTTTGAGCTTTTCAGTAGCTCAATGGCACAAACATTAGGGGATGAGAAAAGAAATAAAAAGTAAAAAATATATCTCTATTTATTTATTTATTTGTTTGTTTGTTTGTTTGTTTGTTTGTTTGATTTCTATACAGCACATCTGGCTACCAAGGCCACTCTGGGCAGTACACAACAGAAAATAGGACAATCAGCATCAATAAACTAAACTAAAATAATGTCAAACAATATAGAAGAACAGACATACACTAAAGCATTATAAATCAATTACCAATGGTCAGATAGAGGAGGCTCATTCTGTTATTATTGACTTGGCAGCTTTGTTTACTTATTTACTTATTTAATTTCTATAATGCCCATTTGGCAACCCAGGCCACTCTGGGAGGTTTACATAATACCGGACCGGGGTGCGAAGACAGACCTCCCAGCCACCCTGCATGCACTCCCCTCCTCACAGCTGCTTTGCACACATGTGCGCATGCCAGCGCCAGCGTGAGCGCCCACCCATCCCTTCACACATGCGCCCAAGTGCCTGCGCGAAGGGGTGGGCGGGCTGCAGGTGCTCCTGCGCATGTGCGAAGGGGTGGGGGAGTGCTCATGCCGGTGCTGGTGGGCACTCCCCCATTGCTTTGCGCATGCGCCCAAGTGCCTGAGCGAAGGGATGAGTGGGTGGGTGTATTTGCATGTGCCCCTGCGCATGCACAAAGGGGTGGGGGAGTGCTTACGGCGGCACTAGCGGGCGGGGTGGGCGGGCTGCAGGTGCTCCTGCGCATGTGCGAAGGGGTGGGGGAGTGCTCATGCCGGTGCTGGTGGGCACTCCCCCATTGCTTTGCGCATGCGCCCAAGTGCCTGAGCGAAGGGATGAGTGGGTGGGTGTATTTGCATGTGCCCCTGCGCATGCACAAAGGGGTGGGGGAGTGCTCACAGCGGCACTAGCGGGCGGGTGCTCCCCCACTGCTTCGCACATGTGCCTGAGAGTGCGCATACAATCGCACGCACCTGTGGGGGGCCCGCCTTCCTCGGAGGCTCAGCCCGTCCACCGTCCCAAAAAAGTTGGGGACCGCTGCCATAAAACAAAGTATAAAAACAAACAAAGCAAAAGCGGACAAGAAATAAAATAATCAATATAATATTAAAACATGAAAACAATTTCAATAGAACATTAAAATAAAATAAAGAAAGCATGGTGGAAGTTGAACATTAGCGAATTCTAGTTATTTTAGCACTATTGTATCAGATGTCGTAGAGGAAGCCCTGTCTAAATAGAAATGTATTGAGCAACTGCTTAAAGCAGTGGTCCCCAAACTTTTCTGAGTCGCGGACCAGTTGGGGAGGGTTCGTTCGTGGGTGGGCAGGGCATGCTCGGAGAGGGAAGCGCTCATACGTATGTGCAGAGGGGCAAAGCATGCTCACAGAGGAGCAGAATGCTCTCGCGAAGGGGCGGGACCTGCTCGTGGAGGGATGGGGTGGGCTTGCGAGGGGTGGGGCACCTGTTCATGTGGATGGTTGGCCGTGCGTGTGGGTGGATGGGTGGAGTGCATGCAGGGGGGGGGAGATCTGTCTCCACGGCCAGGTCCTGTCATGGCGACGGACCAGCACCAGGCCATGGACTGGGGGTTGGGGACCCCTGGCTTAAAGGATCCGAATGAAGGCAGTAGGCAAATATTGGGTGGGAGAAGATTGCACAATTGGGGGGCTACTGCCGAGAAGGTCCAGTTTCTGGTTACTGTTTTCCGGGCCTCTGTTGGGGTCAAACGTCTCAGCTGTTCAGCCTGCGAAGATCTTATAGGATGGGCAGATCTGGTTGGAAGGAGGTGTTCTGCCAGATAATGAGGTCCCAAACCATTTAGGGCTTTTGTATATCACCATCACCTCTGTTTCTGTCATCCGGCTTTTTCCGAATTGGTCTAATGAATGTCTCCTTGCACCACAGAGGCTTCTGCGGTTTAACCCACAGCGCCACTATGTCTAAAGACAAAGCTGGGTGTAAAAAGCCTATTGACCAAAATCCTGTTGGTGTTCATGTAAAGTCTATATAACTTATAGCAGCTTATAGCAGCTAATTACAGTATCAAGATGCCAACCAGGGCATTTTTCAATCATGTGTTTGGGAATGAACTTCAGTGCCCAACTAATGTGCTCTGGCACTTCACCAATTAGCTACAACTAGCCTCAGCAAGTTCTGCAAGGATTATGTGAACTCAATACAGTTCAGACCCTTGGTTCCTTAATGGGCTCAGAGCATGGGGCATAGACTAACATGGTAGTCTATATATCAGCAAAACTGGTTACTAAATTTAGGTGGTTGTAAAAATACTCGAACCCAGAAGTGGTCAGTTTTATAGTGGATGGACAGGAAAACCCACAGAGCATGAAGTCCTATTTCCAGGTGTGCTACCAAATGTGTGTCTTCTTCCAAGATAGGATCCAACTGCTGGATGGCTAGTTATATTATCTCTGAGGCTTTAAAATGCAAAGGTCTTGGCCATAAAAGAAACCACTATATGTTATGTTCACTAGATTTTGGTTTGGAGATTGAAGGATAACAGATTTGTAAACCAACATTATTCAGATTAACTCTGACATCACATATTTGAGTTTTGCCAGTCTTTATTCATGAAATAATCTTGTCCTTGAGTGATGAGTGCTAGTCACAATTTTTTCTTTACTACTGAGATCTTCTCACCAATTAGTTTTTCCTATGAGTAATTCAGAATTCACCGTGGTCTTGCTTCCCTTTTCGTGTCTTCTCTTTGAAATATACATTCTTAATTATGTATCATTATACATTTCAATGGTGCATCTCTTGACATTCAGTTTCACCTCGCTTTGAGAGAGGGGAGCTAGCAATTTCTCAGTAGCCTTCCCAGCAACTCCAAGTAGCCTAATTACTGAAGGAAGATTCAGAAAAATTTTGCAGTTTGGAGTTCACAGATCCGACCAAGATACTCAACTAAACTCCACTCTTCCCTCCCATCTGGTTTGATGCTCCTTCTTACTCAACTGTCAACTATCCATGACCAAGCCAAACAGCATTCCACGACCATCCAGCATGCTGAATCTTGTCTTCGGGTTATGGCCATTCTGTTTTTTAATAAAATCTTCAAACCTTGGGATTCTTACAAACCTGTCACCACATTTCTCTTGTGGCCTTTGAAAACAGAAGAAATAATTTCAGAATATGGGCCTAGTGATCGGTGTTTTTGCACTACTTGGTCCAAATACTGAAAAGCAGAAATAAAGTTAATTCTTAGTTCTAACTGGGGAGACTATCCCTGCCCCCATGCTCTCCTTCAGATTGCCACAGCTCAGGAGAGCCACTGTGGAGTAATTGACTAGGACTTGGGAGACCTGGGTTTAAATCCTTGCTCTGCACAGAAACTTACTGGGGATGGGGTGGCACTAGTAATATCTTATATACTCCTGTAGTGTTCTCATATGTCAGATGCAACTTGATGGCACATGGCAACATAAAAGACTATAATTTTCTCTGTTTGTTCCCCCCTCAATGAAAGCTGAAAATTCAGAAGACTCTAGAATTGAATATCCCATTGGGAAGCAGAGTCCAGATCCAGCAGCATACTTTGGCATCTAATTACTGGATCTGGAAAGCTCTTCTCTAGTCCCTACCACTGTAGTGTCCAAAAGTGCTCCATGGAGTTTCCCAGCCCTATGAAGCAAGGATTTAGTTTGCATAGGGAGGTCCAGAAGGACTGCTGGGTCTAGAAGAAGCAATGGGATTTAGCAGACACAAATGGTGAGCTTCTGACCCAGGCCCAACATGAGTAGAGCACAATCACCTTAGTAGAGGCTGCCCATAAAGAGTGGCAGACTTAAGTTAGATGATTCAGTATCACAGAGAAAATGGATGAGACATCAGGCATGAGGTGAGCTCAAGATTACTTTTATTTATATATAAGATGGTGAGGAATAAACTTCATGGCTCTAAAAGAAACCCATGACTTCCTCCTGTACAAGTTACGTTTTTATTCATATACAATGATGCTGGGAAACGTCAAGTCCCATCTGAATATCTTCCATCTTTCTTTGGCTTGTGTTGGGCAAAAGAAAGTTCTTAGTAAGCTGTACAGACTTTCAGCTTTCATTAAAGACTAAAATTATTGCCAGTTTTGCTGCTCATCTCTATTTACACACCTTGTCTTTATACTACAAAGTATTAACACAGACGAAACAGCTGCACAGGCAAAATGTTACTGTCTGACACAAACCCTATGTTTAACT